GGGGTTTCACCATGTTGGCCAGGCTGGTCTTGAACTCCTGACCTCAGGTGATCCGCCTGCCTCGGCCTCCCAAAGTGCTGGGATTACAGGCATGAACCACCGCGCCTGGCCCCACCCCTGGCTTTTTAGAAAATGTGTTTCCTCTCTTTTTTTTTTGAGACTGGGTCTTGTTCTGTCACCCAGGCTGGACAGCAGTGGTGTGATGACAGCTCACTGCAGCCTCCACCTCCCTGGCTCAAGCCTGGGCTGCATTTGTGCAGGGCTGGCTCCCTGACCTAGGTCCCACAACCCCTGAGTCCCAGCAGGGGTGAAAGCACCCAGCTGAACCGAGGAGCAGGCTGACTTACAAGACAGGTTTTTGCCGGGCAGAGCCATCCGCCTCCCCACTGGGAGTGTGAACCGGAGAGCTCAGGGGGCTGGTCTCAGGCCCCAGCCCATGGCCCAGTGTATCGTGAGGGTCGTGCTCGAGGGTGAGCTGGAGCAGGCGGCTGGTTTCCTGAATCAGCAGGTCAATCTGGGGACAGCAGGCATGTGAACGGGGGTGGGGTGGGGAGGGGGCTAGGCACGAAGGCACTACCTCCCATCCTGCCCCCCAGACTCAGGACCGTACCTCATCCAGGGGCACATTTCGGATGGGCGTGCCATTGATTTCCAAGATCCGGTCTCCGACGTGGATGGAATTCTTCACATCTGGGCTCATGCAGCCTGGATCCACTCTGTGGGTGGGGCAGGGGTCAGGCCAGTGCCCGCCAGTCCCTCACCCCAACAGGAGACCAAGGCGAAGGGGACCAGATCCGGGGTGAGCAGGCGGAGGATTCTACCTCGTGTGACTGGGAAGTAGTAGATGGCCAGAACACCGAGTTCTGGTTTCAGAGGAGGAATTCTGTAATCAATTACTGATGTCTGCCACAGGCGTGAGCTGGAGAAAGGTGGCGCGCTTGTAGGCACTGGCCACCCACACGAGATGCTCAGCTGCTCCCATTCAATGGACCATTGTCTCCATCCTGGGGGAAGAGATCTATCCTTCCAACTCCCAGGTATGCTTGGTCTCAATTTCTGGGTTATTTTTTTTTTTTGAGACAGAATCTCACTCTGTTGACCAGGCTGGAGTGCAGTGGCACAATCACGGCTCACTGCAGCCTCCACTTCCCGAGTTCAAGTGATTCTCGCACCTCAGCCTCCTGAGTAGCTGGGATTACAGGTGTACACCACCATACCTGGCTAATTTTTTGTATTTTTGGTAGAGACGGGGTTTCACCATATTTCCCAGGCTTGTCTTGAACTCCTGAGCTCAGGCAATCTACCCGCCTTGGCCTCCCAAACTGCTAGGACTGGCTGGGCACGGTGGCTCACGCCTATAATCCCAACACTTTGGGAGGCCGAGACGGGCGGATCACTTGAAGTCAGGAGTTTGAGACCAGCCTGGCCAACTTGGTGAAACCCCATCTCTACTGAAAACACAAAAATTAGCCGAGCGTGGCAGTGGGTGCCTGTAGTCCCAGCTACTTGGGAGGCTGAGGCAGGAGAACTGCTTGAACCTGGGAGGCGGAGGTTGCAGTAAGTCAAGATTCTGCCACTGCACTCCAGCCTGGGTGACAGAGCAAGACTCTGTCTCAAAACAAAAGCTAAAACAAAGTGCTAGGATTACAGACATGAGTCACTGCGCCTGGCCTGTCTGGTATGCTTGGGGCAGGTGAGTGCCTTGGGTCCCAAAAAGGTCTCGGTTTAGTGGCTTCCTATCTGACTCCCAAACTCGCCCTGCAAGAGGAGGCCAAGCTCTATTGCTCCTGCATTGGCAGAAGGGATCTGGCAGCTTGCTCTGAGCCACAATTGCAGGGTGAAGACGGGAAAGAGACCCTCAATCAGTTGCCCATAAGCTAACTCACAAAAAGATCAATTTGCCAAATGTACTTGTTTCTTTTAACTCTTCGGTGTTAGGGACCTCGTTTCCCTTCCCTTTCCCTTCCCTTTCCTTTTCTTTTCTTTTTTTTTTTTGAGACAGAGTTTCGCTCTTGTTGCTCAGGCTGGAGTGCAATGGCACGATCTCGGCTCACAGCAACCTCCGCCTCCCAGGTTCAAGCGATTCTCCTGCCTCAGCCTCCCGAGTAGCTGGGATTAAAGGCATGTGCCACCACAACTGGCTAATTTTGTATTTTTAGTAGAGATGGGGTTTCTCCATGTTGGTCAGGCTGGTCTCAAACTCCTGACCTCAGGTAATCTGCCTGCCTCGGCTTCCCAAAGTGTTGGGATTATAGGTGTGAGCCACCGTGCCCGGCCTGGGACCTGGTTTTCATTCTGCCTCATACAAGCTTTTCAGGGAATGGTCGCTTTGTCTCCGCCCTAGGTCCTGGAGATGGAAAAGGGGATGGGGGTAAGGCAGAGAGGAGACTGAGAACTTTAAGAAAAACAGGGCCAGGCGTGGTGGCTCAAGCCTGGAATCCCAGCACAGAGGCCAAAGTGGGAGGATTGCTTGAGACTAGGGGTTTGAGACCAGCCTGGGCAGCATAGCAAGACCCCATCTCTATGAAATTTTTAAAGAAAATTAGCTGGGCATGGTGGCACACTCCTGTAATCCCAGCTATTTGGGAGGTTGAGGCCAGGAGTTCGAGAAAAGCCCGAGCAAAATAGTGAGACCTCATCGTTACAAAAAATAAAAAATTAGCCAGGCACGGTGGTGCTGCCTGTAGTCCTAGCTACTTGAGAAGCTGAGGCGGGACGATCGCTTGAGCCCATGAAGTCGAGGCTGCAGTGAGCTATGATTGTGTCACTGCACTCCAGCCTGGGCAACAGAGTGAGACTCTATCTCAAACAAACAAGCAAGCAAACAGAAAGACTATTCTCATATTGGGGAGAAGCTCTTCCTTACAGTCATAAACGCAGAAGGAAGAACAGAGTTAGAAATTCAGCATTTGGTAGCCACCCTAGTAATAATTGCTACAGGCAAGAATCATCAATAGATGCTAAAATCATTTGGGGAAGGGTTTTTGGGAACAGGGTATTTACAGACTCAAATCTCACAAATGGTTTATTGACAACAAAGGGAAAAAAATCCTTACAGTAGGGAAAAAACAAGTAATCAAAGCGAACATCCTCAGCAAAGGGCACGCTGACATCATATGTCTCCTGGCAAGATCCACTCGGAAGGACAGAGGATCACTTATTCAGTGTCAGGCCAAACCCGCAGAGCCTGTCTCCCTAATAGGAAACATCAGTCAAACCCAGATACGAGGGCGGGTGCGGTGGCTCCCTAATAGGAAACATCAGTCAAACCCAGATACGAGGGCGGGTGCGGTGGCTCACGCCTGTAATCCCAGCACTTTAGGAGGCCGAGGCGGGAGGATCATTTGAGCCCAGGAGTCTGAGACCAGCCTGGGCAACACAGTGAGACCCTGTCTCTCTTTCTAAAAAAAAAAAAAAAAGGAAAAACATTTTACTTTAATGACTGGCCTGCATACTTCAAAAATGTCAAGGTCATTAAGGGCAATGAAAGGCTGAGGAAATGGCCAGGCGCAGTGGCTCATGCCTGTAAACCCAGCACTTTGGGAGGCTGAGGTGGGTGGATCATTTGAGGTCAGGAGTTCAAGACCAGCCTGGGCAACATGGTGAAACCCCGTCTCTATTAAAAATACAAAAATTAGGCGTGCATGACGGTGCACGCCTGTAATCTCAGCAACTTAGGAGGCTGAGGAAGGAGAATCACTTAAGCCCGGAAGGCGGAGGTTGCGATGAGCCAAGATTGCGCCATTGCGCTCCAGCCTGGGCAATGAGAGCAAAACTCCATCTCAAAAAAAAAAAAAAAAAAAAGATACTGATGAGACATGACGATTAAATGCAATGTTGATCACGGACTGGATTGTGGATCGGGGGAGACTGCTATAAAGGAAGGTTCAGTAGTTCAGTATAGAGATGATTGGCAAAATTTGAATATGGTCTGTGTATTAGATAATGGTATCAATGTTAAATTTCCAAAATGTGATCACTGTACTGTAAGACACAATTGATAATTATATAAGAGAATGCCTAGTCAGGTGTGGTGGCCTGTGCCTGCAGTCCCAGCTACTGGGGAGGCAGAGGTGGGAGGATCACTTGAGCCCGGGAGGTTGAGGCTGCAGTGAGCTGTGATCGCATCACTGCACTCCAGCCTGGTTGACAGTGATACCTTGTCTCCAAAAATAAAAAATAAAAAGGAAGGCCCTTCTTTTGAGAATCTCTAGCATATTTGTGGGGGAGTCAATCATCCCTGCAACTTACTCCCAAACGATCAATAAATAACAACATATATATATATACAAACAAATATAAACAAGTCACTAAACATGTACATGTATCTGTATCCATATATGTATATATAGAGAGACACATGTAACTCCCAAATATGGCAGTTACGAATTGGTGAACCTTGGTGAAGGGTGTGTATGTATTCAACGGACTTATTATTTTAGCAGATTTTCTATAAATCTACAAAATGTGAAGATGAAAAGTTGGAAAAAACCAAAGAAAATATTTTCACTGATACAGGCTTTGCACGCATATAGCCTTAAAAATAAGCCAGGCATGGTGGCTCACGCCTGTAATCCCAGCACTTTGGGAGGCCAATGTGGGAGGATTGCTTGAGCCCAGGAGTTCGAGACCAGCCTGGGCGACACAGCAAGACTCAGTTTCTACAAAAATTTAAAAAATTAGCTGGGTGTGGTGGTGTGTGCCTATAGTCTCAGCTACTCAGAAGGCTGAGATGAGTGGATTGCCTGAGCACAGGAGTTTGAGGCTGCAGTGAACTATGATTTTCCCACTGCACTCCAGCCTGTATGACAGAGCAAGACCCTGTCTCAAAAAAAATTATGTGTGTGTGTGTATATATATGTGTGTGTGTGTGTATATATATATAAAATAAAACATACATATATAAATTACTTATAATCTCACATCCTCTCCCTTGGTTTGCTAAAGCAGCAGGTGGCCTGGATAAATTAACCTTCCTTAAAATGCTGCTGTACACAAAATGAAAAGCAGTCAACTAAAACCAGTTTAAAACAAACAAGTAAATCTTTGGCAAGTTGGACTCTTTCCGGGAAGGGTGTGGCTCTTTGCAGAAATTACTGGGATGTTCCAGATGTTGGCTGGGCAGAATGCTTACCCAGTGAGACAGACAGGGAGGAGATGTCATTAGCTCTCTTCTTTATTTTTATTTTAGAGACAGGGTCTCACTCTGTCCAGCCCAAGCTGAAATGCAGTGGCATCACCATAGCTCGCTGAAGCCTCCACCTCCTGGGCTCAAGCAATCCTCTCACCTCAGCCCTCTGAAGTGGCTGAGATAACAGGCATTAGCTGCTGCACCCAGCTGACTGTCTTCATTTCTAAAATTCTGCCTGGATTTCAGGGACCAGCTGCAGTCTCTGATTCTGTGGGGACCTCCCTTGGCCCTCTGGAAAGAGCCGTTGGTCTGGGAGTTTCCTTGTCTCTTTCAGCAGCTGTCTGCTCACTCGTGTATGTAAAGCAGCTGCTGGCTTGGCTGATGTCAAGGCAGGGATGGAGACACACTGTCAAGCCCAGTATCATTTTCTGTCCCCAGGGCCACCTTCGCATCTCACCAATGCCTATGCAGTCCTGGGCACCTGACAGGTGTACAAGAAACATTCACTGCATCAAATGAAAGCTAGCACTTGGGCCGGGCATGGTGACTCACACCTGTAATCCCAGCACTTTGGGAGGCTGAGGAGGGAGGATCACTTGAGCCCAGGAGTTTGAAACTAGTCTGGCCAATATGGTGAAACCCTGTCTTTACTAAAAATACAAAAATTAGCCAGGCATGGTTCGCCTGTAGTCCCAGCTACTAGGGAGGCTGAGATGCAAGAATTGCTTGAACTTGGGAGGTGGAGGTTGCAGTGAGATGATATCATACCACTGCACCCCAGCCTGGGCGACAGAGTGAGACTCTGTCTCAAAAAAAAAAAAAAGCAAGCGAGCAATGGCCTAAAAGTGGAAACACTGCATGTTACTTCTCAAGGTGTCAATAAAGGCTCCACAGAAATCTTAGAAGGCTCCAAAGTATCCACCTCCCTCATTGTTCAAACAGACCCCCAAAGCCCAGAGAGAAAGGAGCTGCTCAAAGTCACACAGTAATCTCATCTTTATCGGCCCTGCCCCATTTTTTTGAGACAGGGTTTTGCTCCACTGCCCAGGCTGGAGTGCAGTGGCGCAATTATAGCTCACTGTAGCCCCGACTTCCTGGGCTCAAGAGATCCTCTCGCCTCAGCCTCCCAAGTAGCTGTGACTACAATGTTGCAAAGGCTGGTTTCGAACTCCTGGCCTCAAGTGATCCTCCCATCTCAGCTTCTCAGAGTGCTCCGATTATAGGTGTGAGCAACCATGCCCAGCCTCTATGTGTTCAGTGATTTCAACATGCCCGGTCAATTTTAAATTTTTTTTTTTTTTTTTTTTTTTGTAGAGACGGAGGTCTCGCTATGTTGCCCAAGCTGGTCTCAAACTTCTGGCCTCAAGTGATCCTCCCACTTTGGCCTCCCAAAGTGCTGGGATGACAGGCGTGAGTTACTGCACCCGGCCTCTTCACTCATTCCTGATTTGGTTCCTCCTCTTTCTTGTTGGATCAGACATGGACTAAAGAAAATGTCTTTTTATTTTTTGGGTGTGTTTATTTTTATTTTTTATTTTTTGATACAGAGTTTTACTCTTGCTGCCCAGCCTTGAGTAAAATGGCAGTCTGGGCTCACTGCAACCTCTACCTCCCGGGTTCGAGTGATTCTCCTGCCTCAGCCTCTCAAGTAGCTGGGACTACAGGCACCCACCAACACGCCTGGCTATGTTTATATTTTTAGTAGAGACGGGGTTTCACCACGTTGCCTAGGCTAGTCTCGAACTCCTGACCTCAGGTGATCCACCCACCTCAACCTCCCAAAGTGCTGAGATTACAGGTGTGAGCCACCATGCCAGGCTGAAATGTCTTTTTATTGTAGCTCGCATTTGTAATGGTATTCAGAGGAATGAACGACTGGGCCAGAAATCTGGTAAACCAGGTTGTCAGAGCTGGGCCCCGACTGCACCCAAACACTCGCCCATTCATTGTCAGGGCCCCCCGTGCCAGACTCTGCCACCCACATCAACGGCCACAGCCACACTGACGGCAGCCTCGCTAGACCGGCCACTCACCCCTGGACGCGGACGGTGTGTGCGTGCTCGGTGCCGCAGCCCGGCGGGCCGTGTGGGGGGTCGATGGAGACTGAAAGTCCACGCTTGCCATGAGATGAGGCTGGGATGGACACTAGGGTGACGGTGTGGGGCAGGTGGGAGCCGGGGGAGTCGGGCAGGATTTGCTCGATGACGGGGGTCACCACAGTCTGGTAGTAGCAGTGCCCGCTGCAAGAGCCGCCAGGGGTGGGAAGGAAAGAGTGTCAAGAGCATCATCAGTTTCAGCATCCCTGCAGCCCCCAGCCCCAGGCTCTTCCCCTACCCGCTTCCTTTTTTTTTTTTTTTTTTAGAGATGGAATCTCATTCTGTTGATTACAACACTGCACCCCAGCCTGGGCGACAAAGCGAGACTCCGTCTTAAAAGAAAAGGAAAGCTAGCAATTGCCCAAAAGTGCAGTGGTGCGATCTTGGCTCACTGTAACCTCCGCCTCCTGGGTTCAAGCGATTCTCCTGCCTCAGCCTCCTGAGTAGCTGGGATTACAGGCACGCACCACCATGCCTGGCTAATTTTGTGTTTTTAGTAGAGACAGTTTCACCAGGTTGGCCAGGCTGGTCTCGAACTCCCGATCTCAGGTGATCTGCCCACCTCGGCCTCCCAAAGTGCTGGGATTACAGGCGTGAGTCACTGCACCTGGCCAGCTTTTTCTTTCACTTCTCCTATGGAACTGGGAGCAGGAACTGTGCGTGCCCAGCCAGCCCTCGTCCCTCTGAGTCATTTGGGTCTGTCTACTCGCTGTGATCCTGTAAGGCGGCCAGGACAAGGCCTGAGGATAAATCCAGTTCAGGAGGAAGTCATTAAAAGCCCATCTGGGATCAAGCCACGTTGTCCTCTAATCCAGCCTGATCAGTGTTGTATAAGAAAGAATCTGTCTGGGTTTTGTCCTGATTCCTGGGAGGGAGACTCTAAGTCCTTGGAATGGGGTATCTTTGTTATTCATGAGCCCCTCAGACTATTCCTGAATTGATACTAATGAGATGACTCAGCCCCGCAAAGAGACATCATGTGATTTGAAGAGAGTTGCAGCTTTCAACCAGCCTGACCTCCAAGAACGGGGGCTGGAGACTAAGTTTGATCATACGGCCAATGACTCAATCAGTCATGACAATGTAATGAAATCCCAATAAAAACTCTGGCTGCTGAAGCTCAGGGAAGCTTCCTGGTTGGTGACCACATTGATGTGCTAGGGGAGGGAGGGGAGATGCTTCTTCATTTGGCCAGACCTGAGCTGTGTCCTTTATAATGAAACTGGAATCCTAAATGGAGGCTTTCCTGAGTTCTGTGAGTCTGTTAGCAAACGATCAAACTTGGCAGGGTCTTGGGAGTCCCTGAATTTGCAGCCAGTCGGTCAGAAGTGTGAGTGGGTTGGGGACTCCTTGTGGCTGGTGTCTAAAGAGGGAGCAGTTGTGCTGGGGATGGTGTCCTTAACTTGTGGCATCTGCCCCAACTCTGGTGATTCATGCCAGCACCATGCTGCAGTCATGGCCAGTAAGAAAGCTGATGTCTGAGGCTTTTTTTTTTTGAGACAGAGTCTTGCTCTGTTGCCCAGGCTGGAGAGCAGTGGCGCAGTCTCGGCTCACTGCAACCTCCGCCTCCCAAGTTCAAGTGAGTCTCCTGCCTCAGCCTCTTGAGTAGCTGGGATTATAGGCCCATGCCACCACACCTGGTTAATTTTTGAATTTTTAATAGAGATGGGGTTCCAGCATGTTGGCCAGGCTGGTCTTGAACTCCTGGCCTCAAGGGATCCGCCTGCCTTGGATTCCTGAAGTGCTGGGATTACAGGTGTGAGCCACCATGCCTGGCCATCTGAGGCTTTTTCACACTGACTTCTGTGTGTTACTTTTCCCTTGTTTCCACGTCTGGACAAGAAAGAAGATATGAACATTTGCCCCGCAAAACCAACGTGGAAGGGGCAGGAGGCCCGGGTGTGGGACAGTCAGTGTCCTTGCAGACCTGTGACACAGGTGGGCCACTTAGGCTCGGGGAGGGGCCAAGGCACTCACCAGTATAGCTTGGAGTGCTCCACCAGTGTGTACGTGTCCCCGTCGCCGATAAAGGTCCCACACGTGAGGCAGATGAAACACTCGGGGTGGTACTTCAGCTCCCCAGCCACCTGATGCGGGGGTGAGGAGGGAACAGCCCCGCTCAGCAGCCCCAACAGCCCCCACAGATCCTCCCCAGGCCTCTTCTCCGAAGGGTGTCACCAAAAAAACAACTGCGGGGACCTGGCTGGCCAGCTGCTGAGCTCCTGGACAGAGCTGGCTCCATAAATGGGGGCGCTGAGGGATACAGACAGACAGTCAGGCTCAGAAAGCGGGGGACACTCCAAAGACCAGCAAGGAGAGACAATGATGGGAGAGAAACCTGGAGCATGGGGTCTGCTTGGACACCCCCACCCCAGGTGAGTGTGCAAGGCAGGGGGCGCTCACCATAACCAGTCCCTTGGTGATTTGCTCCGAGCACCCATGGCAGGACTCGCCATAGCGGGCCCAGTAGTCCTTCTTGCAGAAGAGCTGCCCATCCTTCTCATAGTACTGGTGCGACAGGGAGGCACTGCAGTCACAACACCTGCGGGAGAGGGGCCGGGCTGAGACATCCACTCCCGCCCTCCTCTGTTGCACCCAGGACCCTGCCTTGGCTACAGGCACCTTTGTAAAAATTAGAAAAAGTTTTTTTGTTTGTTTGTTTTTTGAGACGGAGTCTTGCTCTGTCGCCAGGCTGGAGTGCAGTGGCACGATCTCGGCTCCCTGCAACCTCTGCCTCCTGGGTTCAAGTGATCCTCCTGCCTCAGCCTCCTGAGTAGCTGGGACTACATGCAGGCACCATCACGCCCAGCTAATTTTTTGTCTTTTTAGTAGAGACAGGGTTTCACCACATTGGCCAGGATGGTCTTGATCTCTTGACCTCGTGATCCGCCTGCCTTGGCCTCCCAAAGCAGTGGCTCACGCCTGTAATCCCAGCACTTTGGGAGGCCGAGGTGGGCAGATCACTTGGGGTCAGGAGTCTGACTACTCCTAGGTAGTAGCTACTCCCTAGCTACTAGGGAGGCTGGGGAGGGAGGACCGCTTGAGCCCAGGAGTCGAAGGCTGCAGTGTGCTATGATTGCACCACTGCACTCCAGCCTGGGTGACACAGCAAGACCCTCTCTCTAAAAAATAAAATAAAGAAAATGTGGGTGCCCCAGTGAATCCGCAGGCACACATGTGCCCCACTGGGTCCTGGTGTGGGTGCGCATGTCTGGGCCAGGGTACAGACCCACACAGAGAAGAGGCTAGGGGGTCCGTCCAGCTCTGCCGCTGTTTGGGTGCCATGGGTTGGTCACACAGAGACAGAAGAATCCAGGCTCTATAGGGCCACAATCTAGGAGAGAAGCAGGTAGGAAAGACTGGGACCTGGATGAGATGAGGGAACTTGAAGGGCTGTTTCCTACCCAGGAAACCGTCCACCGCCTGGGGCCTGCATGAGTATCAGTCACGGGCTGTCTGCCATTGCTAATTCCCTATAACTAGGGAACTGGGGTTGAGGAGGGGAGTTCATCGGTAAGCTGACGGGACACTGTCCCTTTAAGAGGATCCAGCCAGTTCCCCTTTGTCTGGGAGCCTGGGGGAGGGGCTGGGAGTAAAGGGGGAGCAGAAAATGCCAGGGTTTGGAAGCATGTGGGTGGGGGCGCATCCAGGAAAGGGGGCCTGGTGCATTCCTCCATGGGGGTGGGGAATGAGGAGGCTGGGCCACTGGAGGTGGTGGCGGTGGCAGGGGCAGTGGGAGACATGATGTCAGGGTCACTGCCCCCGCTCGGTGCACACCTGGGGGTGGGCAGTTCACCAGATCACCGCGGGGATGGGGTGGAGGAGGGAAGGCAGTGAGGGGGGTGGTCCCCAGGGCACCTCCCATTCCGGGGCTCTAACCTAATACGAAAGAAGTGCTGCCGCCACGAGGCCAGGCCGACTTTGGGTCCTGCCCTCGTGGAAGCCCCCACACCCGGTGCAGACCAATGACTCGCTTCCTGTCCTTACACAGATCACACATGACCTCGGTCACAGGGGTGCCACATCACAGGAATGCCCCTCACTCCCGCCTGCAGGAAGCAGGGCCCCTGCATGCCTCTGCAGTGGGCGGTGGGTGGGGGGGGGATCAGGAACTGCTGTAACCAAGTGTCCCCATCCTGGGGAGGGAAAGCTCTTCCGCAGCCTGGACACTGCTACTGGTCCATTCACTCGCTCACGCAGAAACTCACAAACCTTCATCGCTGCTGCTCACTTTCAGCAGCTGTGAAAGACCCGGCGGTGATGACTCACCCGAGGGTTTGAGTACACTTGGCTTCTCTCCGGTCACCACTTCCTTGAAGCCTGTTCTACCAGACACTAGGTCTGCCCACCAGTGTCTGCCACTGACCTGCCAGTTCCCCACGGCCCCACAAGGCCAGGCATCCACAACACTTGTCCCAGGAAAGAGTATAAGCGATTCCTGCGGGCGAGGCCCCCGCTGTGCACCCAGCATCCTCAGAACCGCCTCGAGACCCTGTCTCTGCCTCCACTGCAGACAGGGTGCCCAGGCCTGGCCCGGGTTGACTTGGTGGCTCGGTGGCTGGGGCTCGGGGCCTCAGTGAACCTTTGCGGACGGAGAGCATGCAGGAGTTCCTGTCCCTGCCCCGGCCCTCACCCCTCAGGCCTGCATTCTGGCAGGAGCTATAGGCGGATGGGCCTAACTCTCTTGGGTGCCCCACACAGAGGGCCTGACTGTCCCTAAGAAGGATGTCAAGGGAGGCACACCAGGTACTGAGGCTGTGCAGAGCTGCCCTGGGGCCAGCCAGAGAGGAACTCCCTGGGGGGAGAGGCGTGCCCTGGCCCCACTCCAGGGTACCCCTCCCTAAGAGCAGGGTAGGACAAAGCCAGGCTGGGGCAGGAGAAGGGGGAGGCACCCGGAGGGCATGAAAGGGGTGCTCTGCGGCCCAGGTGGCTGGCTGGGCTGGGAGACAGTGGTGGCTTCCCTAATGACAGGAGTAGAATCATTGCTCTACCCAGGACCACATCCCTGGCCACCAGGTGCGAAGAAACAGCAGGTGGAGGACCGGCCTCATGGGGAGACTGTCCTGGAAGGGCCTGCAGCTTTGGCAGTGGCCTGCTCCCCTGACAGCAGCCACCGTGCTACAGTGACCAAGGAGTTTCAGTTCTGCCCCAGAGCTTGGACCTAGGTGGGTTGGCTTCCAGCCCCAGGCCTTACACCAGGGGCCCTGCCTGGGGCCAGGGACAGGTAGGGAGGGGGATTCCCACTTACTTAGCCCTCTGGAGGAAGCGGCGTCTTCTTGGGGCTGAAGCCAACAGCATCCTCTGTGGCTACGCTGGGGGCTCTGGAGGTCTAAGGGAGGGCAGGGGTGGCCAGACCAGCCGCTTCCCCATCCTCCCTCAGGGGCTCAGGATTGGAGGCTGCAGAGGGTGGAGCCAGTGTGGCTGCAGCACACAGGAGGAGGATGCAGCCGCGTGGGTGCCAGGGGACTTGGTCTGAGCCTGCAGCAGGAAGTGGCTGAAGCACCATGTGCCTGGGCTTTGGTGTCGATGAGGAGCGAGCAGTCTAGGCTTGGACCCCAGGCAGGGAGCCTGTGGCCGGTCCCTGAACACACACTATAGGCTCCTCAGCCTCGGCCCTGACAACGGCACTGAAGGCCTCAGGTTTCTCTGGGGACAGGGACAAGCTTAAAAGCAGCTGCCTCTTCCACTGCTGCCCCCAAGGGAACAGAGGTCAACTTCCTATGGACAGTTTGTCCTCGCCAAAAAGGTTCCCTGAAGAAAGGGAGGTTGCATCCCGTCCCAGCTCCAACCCCACAGGCCAGCAGCATGCTCAGCCTCCCTTGCCCAGAGCCAGCCCACCCAGCTGCCAAGGAGATGCTACCAGGGCTGCGGCAGCCCTGGGGGTTGTGCACTGGAGGCTTCCCAGAGGGGACCACAGAGGCAGTATCTGAGCCAAAGGGAAGCCTGGACCAGTCTGAGCCTGGTCATCACCTGCCGGGAGGCGGGGCCTGCAAGGGGGCGGGGCCTGCAAGGGGTTGGGAGGTCAGAACAGAAAAAGGGGCAGGCCCTGTAGTGACAACCCTGCAGCAATTGTCCCACTCTACAAAGAGGGACAGCATCTGGTCCCGGCCGAGCCTCTAGCAACCCACAGGCCCCCATCACAGCACTCATGACCCTGTCTGTCCTATCAGCCTGGGACTTTCTCAAGAGCAGGGCCCAAGAGACAGGAGCAGCTCTCAGATGCTCAGGTTATGACATTCAGAGATGCACAGCTGGCTGTGCGCAGTGGCTCACGCCTGTAATCCCAGCACTTTGGGAGGCCGAGGTGGGCAGATCGCTTGAGGTCAGGAGTTTGAGGCCAGCCTAGCTAACATGGTGAAACCCTGTCTAAAAAACAAAAACCAAAAATTAGCCGGGTGTGGTGGCGGGCGCCTGTAGTCCCAGCTACTGGGAAGCTGACGCAGGAGAATCACTTGAACCCGGGAGGTGGAGGTTGCAGTGAGCTGAGATCATGCCACTGCACTGCAGCCTGGGTAACAAGAATGAGACTCTCAAAAAAAAAAAAAAAAAAAGCTGCACAGCTAAGGGCACCTTCCTCGGGGCCAAGGCTCTATGCACTCTTGGCCACTGACTGCACTCCCACACACTGGCCTCCTCGTGGTCCTCAGTTGTGCCAAGCACATTCCCACCCCAGGGTCTTTGCACACGTGCCCTTCCCCCACCCCTGACATCCTCTAAACACTGCTCCCCTTAAACATCATCTCCTGAGAGTGCTGTCCCCCAGCAACTGACACTACGTTTGTTCGCCGAGTGTCTGGCCCACTAGGAGGCAGGGACCCTGAAGGTCTGGGAGGTGTGGGTCTAAGCTGTGGTTACACTGTAGGCTCTGAAGCCAGGCTGCCTCAGTTCGAGTCCTGATGCTACTCCTCACTCGCTGTCAGACTTTTGGCAAGTGACTGAACTCTGCACCTCATTTGTAAAATCGCTTTTTCAAAATTTGAGACAGTGTCTCGCTCTGTTGCCTAGGTCAGAGTGCAGTGGCGTGATCACAGCTCACTGCAGCTTCGACATCCTGGGTTCAAGTGATCCTCCCATCTCAGCCTCCTGAGTAGCTGGGACTACAGGTACGCACCAGCACGCCAGGCTAATTTTTTTGTAGAGATGGAGTCTCACTACGTTGCCTAGGCTGATCTCAAACTCCTGGCCTCAAGCAATTCTCCCACCTCAGCCTCCCAAAGTGCTGGGATTACAGGCGTGAGTTACCAGGCTTGGTCTTAAAATTGCTTTAATAAATAGCACCCACTTCCTGGGTTGTCATGAGAGGGCCCTAATGCAGAGTGGGCGCGCCATAATTATTTGCAAGTGACTGACTCAGGGACCCTAGGAAGTTCCACTGGGAAGGGCATGCAGAGGCGCCCGGAAGGCGGCCATCTGGCCACCTCCCCAGTGGGGCTGGAGGCTGTAGACAGACCCCTCATGGCCTTATCACACTGCTCCTGCCCGAACACCTTCAGAGGGGTGAGGGGCCCTGGAACAAAGGTCTCAGTGCATGCAGTGAGGTCCGGGCTGGGCCTCAAAGCCCAGGGCCCGAGGAAAACTAAGCAGAGTCTAGCACCTTGGGCAACCCACTGAGAGCCAGCCTGGCTGTGGTCAGCCATGCACCCAGGTGAGCGGTGACCCCCTCTGAGCTGCTTTGCTCACTGTCATGCGGTGAGGACACTGTTAGCTCCGCCAGCTTTGGAGGCTGTTGGGAGTATCACACCCATAAGCCATAAGTAGAAGCCCTGGCTCTTTGGCTCTTACACCTGATGGATCTTCTCCCATAGCGAGACTTTTTTTTTTTTTTTTTTTTTGAGATGGAGTCTTGCTGTCACCCAGGCTAGAGTGCAGTGGTGCGATCTTGACTCACTGCAACCACAGCCTCCCGGGTTCAAGCGATTCTTGTGCCTCAGCCTCCTGAGTAGCTGGGATTACAGGTGCCCACCACCATGCCCGGATAATTTTTGTATTTTTAGTAGAAATGGGGTTTTACCATGTTGGCCAGGCTGGTCTCAAACTCCTGACTTCAGGTGATCTGCCCACCTTGGCCTCCCAAAGTGCTGGGATTACAGGCATGAGCCACCGCAGCCGGCCTCTTTCTTGTGTTTCACTACACCAGGGACAGCCCAAACACCTCTTCCTTACTCCCCCAACCTGGGGCCTCACCCCTCTCCTGGTGAGTGATTCGGGGTAGGCCACTCCAAAGCCAGGTATATCCATCCTGTATCACAGCTTCCCTCCTGTGCTTTCTGTGCTCTCTACTCCTGACCCTCTCTCCATCACCCAAGACTCCATCTCCCCACTCACCGCAGACACAGGGGTCCCCAAGTTCTTCCCTTCATTCATCTTGGCCCCATCACAAATCCCATTCACCATCTCAGGACCAGCTCCGAGGGGGCCATTTTTTCTGGCTTTCCTACCTCCAACTGGACTCAGGCTCCCATGGCTAGCTCTGGGCAGGGCACAGCCACCCTGGATAGCCCATGTCCCCTCCAGCTCAACACAGATGAGCATGTCTCCTCCCCAACCCGACCCCCAACTCCACCACAGTCAACAAACCACCACCTTCCCAGCACCCAGGTTGGAAAACCAGACGGCTTCAGGTTCCACCCTGCCATTCGCCAGTGCTCATGCCCTCCCCAAAGCCCTGGCCTTTTCTTTCCTTCCCTCCCTCCCTTCCCTCCCTTCCTTCCTCCCTTCCCTTCTTTCTTTCCTTCCTTCCCTTCTTTCTTTCTTTCCTTCCTTCTTTCCTTCCCTTCTTTCTTTCCTTCCTTCCTTCCCTTCCTTCTTTCCTTCTTCCTTTGGTTTTTTGAGACAGGATCTCACTCTGTCACCCAGGCTGGAATGCAGTGGTGTGATCATAGTTCACTGCAACCTCCACCTCCCAGGCTCAAGCAACCTTCCCATGTCAGCCCTGCTGAGTAGCTGGGACTATAGGCACCACCACCACGCTCGGCTAATTTTTTTGTAGAGAGGAGGTTTCGCTATGTTGCCCAGGCTGGTCTCGAACTCCTGAGCTCAAGTGATCCACCCGCCTCCGCCTCCCAAAGGGCTGGGATTATAGGCATGCGCCACCGTCAGCCCCTGCCTTTCCTACTCTGCGGCGATGTGGAGTGAGGTTTGAGTCCCAGCTCTAGATGTTATAACCTTCAGCGAGGCACCTGACTTCACGGAATCTCTGTTTCTCCCATGCAAACTGGGCACATACGGTAGAGTTATGAAGATTTAACAAATTACCATGAAAAATGCTCAATGCATGGTAGCCAATATGACAAATACTCACCAAAAACTGTCCCTTCTGCCTGAAATTCTCTCCATCCTCAGTCACTGTCCCAGGTCAGGTCTGGTGAGCTCGGACCCTTGGGTTACTGGGACAGTCCCTTCCCTGCCTAGATACCACCACCAGCCCACTGGGATGGCATTCCTCAACAGCATGTCACCCCAGTCCCTCCCTGGCTGTCTGACAGCTCCCTTCTGACTTTTTTTTTTTGAGATGGAGTCTCGCTCTGTTGCCGAGGCTGGAGTGCAGTGACGTGATCTCAGCTCACTGCAGCCTCCACCTCCCAGGTTCAAGTGATTCTCCTTCCTTAGCCTCCCGAGTAGCTGGGATTGCAGTTGTGTGCCACCACGCCCAGCTAATTTTTGTATTTTTAGTAGAGATGGGGTTTCACCATGTTGGCCAGGCTGGTCTTGAACTCCTGGCCTCAAGTGATCCGCTGGCCTTGGCCTCCCAAAATGCTGGGATTACGGGGGTGAGCCACCATGCCCGTCCTGACTTCTGAAGCTCCTTATCTTGGCATTCAAGGCCCTTCACAAATCAGTCTCAAGGTTGTTTCTTGTTGAATCCCTTGACTTATTCTGTTCCTTCCAAGTGAACTGTTCCTGTTCCCTCAGCAGTCCGAACCATCCCACCTCTGTGCTGATGGTTTTCTCTGCCTGTTGAGAGCCCTCTTGCCCCCCGAAGACCTCCTTCTCAGCACCTGATGCAGAACCCCAGGGTATGCTGTCTGTCTCCTTTCAGCCACACCACTAAGTGTGTTCATTTCACTCACCGGCTGTGTGACTTTCATCAAGATAATTAACCTCTCTGTGTCCCAATTTTCTCTCTGGCAAAACAAAGACAGCACTAATATCTAACTATGCAAAGTGCTTAGAACAGGGATTGTCCCTTACTGAATGTTAGAAAATGTTAGACATTACTCCTAAAAAAGGAAAAACAGGCTGGCACGGGGGCTCATGCTTGTAATCCCAGCACTTTGGGAGGCTGAGTCGGGAGGATCGCTTGAATCTAGGAGTTGGAGTTGGAGGCTGCAGTGGGCTATGATCTCGCCACTGCACTCCAGCCTGGGTACACGCAAGACCCTGTCTCTAAAAAAAAAAAGAAGAGAAAAAACAAAGAAACAAACCGAGGCCAGGTGCAGTGGCTCATGCCTGTAATCCCAGAATTTTGA